GGGAGTGGGGATAAATTAGGAGTTTGGGATTAGCAGATACAAACTACTATATATAAAATAGATAAACAACAACATCCTACTGCATAGCGCAGGGAACTATATTCAATATCCTGTAATAAACCATAATGAAAAAGAATACGTGTGTGTATATATATATATATATATATATATATATATAACTACACCATAAACTAACACAATGCAACATTGTAAATCAACTATACTTCAATTTTTTAAAAAATAAATAAAATAGAAAAAAAAGGATGTGAAGTGAGTTTTTCCATAGATTTAATGTTTCAGGGGGTAATGATACAGACTCATGTAAAGTTTAAATACAGAAAAATAGGAAGAAGGAAAAAGATACAAAATTTCAACAGTTAACATTCTAATGAACATTGTTCCAGATCTCTGGTTATGTGTGTATAATTATACATGAAAGTGACTTTATTGTACTTGAGTTTTAAAAAGTGTTTTTTTCGGAGAAGCCAAAGGTTAATTACAGGAAGTTAGTGTACAGACCCCCTTATATGTAACTATCAATTACCTTCTTGAGTGGCAGAGTTCTGCTTAACTAATTGGGAAAATAATTGAGGAGACATTTAAGAGACACCTCTGTTTCAGCAGACAACAGTTTACAAAAGGTACCTCTCAAAGGAAGTGGTAGAATCTCACATATTTGGAACTCTAAAAAAGTAGATCCAAAATAGAAATGATGCTGCAGGGAATAATCTTGCATGGCAAGCTAGAAGACTTGATAAACGGATGGGATTTCCCAGTTCTTTTTGTCATTTTTCCATTTTGTAACTCTGATTGATACAGGTAAGTATTATGAGTGGATGCTAAACATACTTGGTAAAAGTTTGATGGAAAATAGAGTATTTACTCAGTCCCAAAGTATAATCTCACATATTACCACCAAAAAAAAAATTAATTTCACAGTGAAAAAGCATGGCAGATACTACCTCTACTAAAATATCAGGGTTAATTTTACTAAAAGTGAGACAAAATGACATTGTGTGCCTCCTGATGTGATGCACTTATGTAGTGGTGACATCAAAATGTACACAAAGCTGGCCTATATTCTTCAAAAATGTCAAAGTCATGCATGTCTTTCCATGGTAATAAGCATGCATTATCCTTTTTGTTGGCTTAGAATATGTCTACAATTATTTAATCAGTTTCCTATTAATACTTATAGGTTGATTGAAGTTTTCCTAAAGGGTGTGTGATGAATGTCCTTCTGCATTTGTCTTTTATTACTTGTTAAACTAGTACTGCTCTCTCAGAGTAGATTCTCAGATGTGAGATTGCTGTGTCAAAGGGTGTGCACATTTTGTGTATAGTTAATATGATCAGGCAGGATTCTCAAACGTTTACATTCTTCTCAGTTGAGAGGACTTACTTCTGGATCAGGCATTTTAACAGTACCTTTAATCCTCTGATTCTAGTTAAATACAGGTGAAACTGATAATTCCTTTTTTATCATAGTGCTTTTGTTATTCTTTGTGATTCAGCTTTTAAAAGCAGTCCCCCTCCACGGTCATGAAGGACCTGTTTATGCAGTGCATGCTGTTTACCAGAGGAGGGCATCGGATGTTGCATTACATACGCTGATAGTGTCTGCAGCTTCTGATTCTACTATTCGAGTCTGGTCTAAACAGGGTTCTGAAGGTAAGTTTAGAGACATTGTGATCCAAACAAATGAAATTAAGTAATTTAATGATCATATGAAGGACAACTTAGAAGAGCATTCATGTAATCTTTCAGTCTTTCAAGCTGTTTTAAAAATATTAGAATTCTAATCTACATGTTTGTTTCTGTTGCACTTTTCCATAATTCCTCTTTACCAAACTGTTTGATAATGTAAATTCCTTCAAAGTCTTTTCATATGTCTTTTTGTTCTCTGTAACCTTGTTAGAAATTGGCCATTTAAATTCCCATCATCCCTGGGGGCTCAGGACTGACCTCTCTCATCTCCCTGCTGACATCTGATGATGCTACCCAACCTCTAAGGTTGGATACACTCAGAGTTAGTTGTTCGTGATGTGTTTTATTATTTCTTAGTGACATGCCTTCAGACCTTGGACTTTGGAAATGGATTCACTCTGGCTCTCTGCTTGTCTTTTTTGCCTAATACTGATGGTGAGTATCCTGCTAAGTGTATATTGAAAGAGGAATGTATTTTTATATCCCCATACAACCAGAACCTAAAAAACACACTGGATCTCAATTTTGTGTCTAAATGTTTTCAGGAAACAAGTTGAGACATGGATAACATACTTTTGTTCTCAGTATTCAAATGACCTGTGTATAAAACATAAGGTCAAAGGGGGTTAAGGGGGGTGGCTATTAGAAACTTTAGTAGCAGTTAAAAATTTAAGTGACTCAATATGTACTCAAGATTGGTACTACTATTTATCAAATATACTGTCGATGTATATAGATGTAATTTGGGAAAATTACCTAGCTCTGTAGAAGGTGAAGGTCTGGGATAAGTTGAGAAAAGTACTGAACATGGATCATATGAGTATTTCTCTTAAGGTGGCAGCCCCTGCACCTGCATAATGACAGCATCTTTCATAATGACAGCACCCTGCGTAATGACAGCATCCTGTGTAATGACAGGTTGCCTAAGACCACTTAAAATCTCCAAAGAAAAAATTCCCCTTTTGCTGTGAAACCCATCTGTACCTATCTTTGATTATCCTCCACAAAGATGATGGCCAATGCAAGTCAGACAGTCTTGTGCCTCCTCAGTTACCTGGAGGACAGACCTGGTGGGGAGAGGTCAGGCCTGGAAGCCTCCAGGCTCTTTTGCCCTTTGCAGCAGGAGCTGCGACTCTGTGGTCTCACGTGACGTTCCACTTTGTGCAAGGGCTCCCCAGGAGGAGGAACTACGCACATTCTGGTTTCATTACATAGAATTTGATTTCTTTGCATCTACGTTGAGGCCAAGTGACTGGAGTTTTTGGCTTTTTTTTTTTTTTACGTTGATTTAAAGAAAACTAATTTTACAGTCACACCTTTCATAACTTTTTATCCACATAGTTAATTATATGCTCTTTTATTTTGTTCTTTAATTACTTCATGGATTTTGTTTTACTATCAAATTCTCAAAATGTAGGGTCCTCAAAGTAACAAACATACCCTTAAATCTTTGTGCAGTAGCCCTGATGCTGGGCTCATAGTAGCTCTCCCGGAAATTTTATTATTCACTTGGGCTAACAACGTTTCCTGTTAGTCTTCTGGCTGACATAGTTCAATGCTCCCAGCTTGCTCTCGAGCTTCTCTTTTTACTGCTCCTTCTATCGTAAATAACACAGAATAAAGGAAAGGATTCTCAGTTAATAGTCATTCTTTGCCGAGTAACCATTTAATGGAACATTTTAGAATATTCATTTTATTCCTAAAGATGTTTATTGAGCACTTTCAATTTATTTGTTCAGTGACGTGGGAAGCAGGAGTCAGGATTCTTTACCTAGAGCTTAGAATCCAGCATAGGTGATGGTCATAACGTATGATGGAATACTTACAGCAATGCCTCTTTTCCCCCCACCAGTACCAATATTAGCATGTGGCGATGATGACTGCAAAATTCACTTATTTGTTCAACAGAATGATCAGGTAATTAATGATGTTTCTTAAGAGGCTAGAATTATGTTCTGCTTAATTACATATCTTAATACAGATTATTTCTAGATTATAGGATTTTGGGGATGTTCCAATCTAAACAATCCAATAGGAGAATCTTTTCTGGCAGTCTTCCATTAAACAGTTTTGCACTCTTTGAACACCAGGTATACTGCTGCTGCTTTGGCTACCAGGTCCAGAGTCGTTGGGGGAAACAGGTCGTTGGGTGGGGAAGAAGAGAAGGAAGATGCTGTAGTAGTGTTTTGTCTTCCCTAGCAGTGGTTATTTGTCCTTCTGAGCTTTACCTATTCTTTGAGTGGTTAAACTAGAGGGAAGTTTCAGAAAGAGGGTTGGTTAACTCTAGGCTCGTTTAGTTAATAACAGAGGTATTTGTTTCTTTGCATTTTATAAGAAAGTTAAAAATGACTGTGAATGTTCAACCACCAAGCTTTTTTCTATATTGTGTCCACAGCATATGTCATTTTACCTTCTGAATGTTTAGTGTATTTGAGAACTACAGATATTATCTGCTCAGGATTGCTCAGTTAAATTTGGATGATTATGAGATTTTTCATTCCCAAATGGGAGCTCTATCTGATGTCTGATCAGATAGTGTTCCCAGTAAAAAAAAAAAAAAGCAATACAGTCAGACTGGCTGGGACCAAATTAAGTCACTGATATACATGAGAATATTAAATTCTTACATCAAGTCCTATGATTTTTGTTATCTTACTAGTTTCAGAAAGTGCTTTTTCTATCTGGACATGAGGATTGGATAAGAGGCGTGGAATGGGCAGCCTTTGGTCAGTATGAAATTTTGCTAAAGTACATATAATGGGGACAAGTATGTGTAATTTCAAAGCAGCCTCTTTTTTATTTATTTATTTGGTGGTGCCGGGTCTTAGTTGCAGCAGGCGGGCTCCTTAGTTGTGGCTTGTCGGCTCCTTAGTTGCGGCATGCATGTGGGATCTAGTGCCCTGAGAAGGGATTGAACCCGGGCCCCCTGCATTGGGAGTGTGGAGTCTTAGCCACTGCACCACCAGGGAAGTCCCCCGTGTATGTTTTAATTAAAAATTTTCTTTGTATGTAACATTTTCCTATTGGCCCGATTAGAAAAGAGGATACTTATCCCTTGTATTAACTATTAGTTGGGTTGGTAGAGGATGAAGCAAGTTGATATTTATAAGAGGACACTAGTTGTTACACATGCAGAAATTCTTGAGAAGTTCTTTTCAGAAATTAATAGATTGAATAGGAATACCACATATTATAACCATTTATTAGCATTGTCTATATTTGTCAGTGTTATTGAAAATGAATATAGGTCAAATGAATGAAGGATAAGGAAGCAAAGTCTAATTTTTTCAGGAAATCTAGAAATGTGTATATTGTAGAAGAAAAACTCTTATACTTAAATTTAAGAATAGAATGTTTTAAAAGTAATAAAATTTGTTTTTTTAATTAGGTAGAGATCTTTTCCTAGCAAGCTGTTCACAAGATTGCCTGATACGCATATGGAGGCTGTATATAAAATCGACATTTTTAGAAACTCAGGAAGATGATAATATAAGACTGAAAGAAAATACTTTTACTATAGAAAGTGAAAGTGAGTAATAATGAAAATATTTGATTTAACAATACTCAGGTTTCCTAGCTGATTTACTTATGTTTCACTACACACATATGTGAAGGTTAGGTTTTTGTTTTTTTGTTTTTTGTGGTACGCAGGCCTCTGTTGTGGCCTTTCCCGTTGCGGAGCACAGGCTCCGGACGCGCAGGCTCAGCAGCCATGTGCTCAACGGGCCCAGCCGCTCCGCGGCTATGTGAGATCTTCCCAGACCAGGGCACGAACCCGTGTCCCCTGCATTGGCAGGCGGACTCTCAACCACTGCGCCACCAGGGAAGCCCGAAGGTTAGGTTTTCAGAAGTATCAGATCCCTAGCTGAAACTGATATATGCATTTTTCCTTTTTTATTTTTATATGAGGGTAAGTCATTTTTCATATATGAAACTTATTTTCTTTCTAAACCATGTTAGTGAGATTTTTTTAAATTGCTGAAAATAATGTTATTTTCTCAATAAGTTAGTTTGTAAAATATTACTTAATTTGCAGTTTTAGCATAGGAAGATCTAAAGGGTTAATGTGAATTATTCATACCTTTTTTGGAGGATATTCATCAGAGACAACTAAATCCTTATATTTGAGTAGTATATATAATTCTGATTTCCTTACTGTCTGGCATCAGAACAATAACCCTCCATGGTAGATCCTGTTGGAATGTTGTATTTGAAGGAGATATTTTTGGATGTGTATCTAAATTATAAAATAAGTCCTCAGTAAACATTTCATCCAGGAATATTCTTCTTTGTCATTACTCTTCTTGGTTGTAAAGCCCATTGGAGTTGAGATTTGGTAACAGATTTCTGGAGAGAACCAAGAAATACTATAACCAGCATATTGTGAGTAGCTATTTCCAAATATGAACATTTTTGTGATATTTTCATTAATTATTTTGTTTGAAAGGTCACAGTACTGATTTGACTTCCTTTATTTCTGCATTTATCTTAGGTTTTTTTTTTAAATGGTACTTTAGACCATTACACAAAATGAGTGAGGATAGCAAGGAGGCTGGCATGTCTTTTTTGCTTTTTTTGAGTCTTTTTTGTTTTTTTGGCCGCACTGTGTGGCTTGCAGGATCTTAGCTCCCCAACCAGGAACTGAACCCGGGCCCTTGGCAGTGAAAGTGCGGAGTCCCACTGACTGGACCACCAGGGAATTCCCTGTTTTTGTTTTTTAATTGCAGTGTAAGAGCATCCCTGAAAATTTAAAATAGAACATACTCCTTAATTTTTATTGTGACTAGGTAGTGAAAATGTAAAAAAAATTTATATATCTTTAGAACTTTTTTCTCCTGTAGTTGTGAACAGTGGGTAAAGTTAATGAAATTTAGAATGAATGCTTTTTGTTGAAAATAAATCATGTTCTGTTCTGATTTTTTTTCTTTGGATGTAATTGTACAACCGAGCTGGTTTTGAAAATGTTATTTTTAGAAGAGCTTTGTGGAAAGAATCCTTTTTTTGTTGTTGCAGGTATTAAAATAGCATTTGCAGTTACTCTGGAGACTGTGCTGGCTGGTCATGAAAACTGGGTAAATGCAGTTCATTGGCAGCCTTCATTTTACAAAGGTAGGAAGAAAAACATACACAAAGCTGTCATTTCAGTACAATCTCACTTACAGAATTTTAAGCTGAACAAATGAAGTAGAGGATATTTTTTGAGTGTAATTAGAAATATCAACTATAAGACAGTTTCAAGTTGGCAAAGTGTAATACTGCAGCCCTGTTCTGCTAGACACTCAATTCTATTGAAAATTGTATTTCTAAGGGGGAAAAGTATGCTTCCTGCCATGATGCCATAACTGCCATATGCTTTTTAACTTTTTTTCTTTAAAGTTTTTACCTAGTCCTTATGGGATTTAAGAGAAGTTAACTTTCAAGCCAGCTTCACTGGAACCTTTACCCTTGGAAATATAAAGTTGGTAATACCAAGGTACATCATTTATGAAAAAGTAAAGACTTCCCACTCTTTCTTTTGCCCTTAACTTCTGTTTATGGAGTGACGACTGATGCTGGGGTGTAGAGGTGCGCACGGCAGCAGCCTCATGTTCTTCCCCCAGCCCCTTCCCCAAGACAACAATAGAGAATAGCAATAATTAATGCTCAGGTAATACCATCCAGCTTTTATTATATTATGCCGTATTTGCTGCAGTTAAAAAAAGATAAATTAGATACTATAGATACTGGGGAATCCCTGTATAGATTTTCCTGAACCTTTTCCCCTTCATCCTTCCCTTGAGGCTGAATTCAGTGTATATTATTCCCATGCATATTTTTATACTTCTACTGCACATTTATGTAACCATAAACAGTATTGTTTTACAGCTATTAAAACTTGATATCAATATGCCTTTGTCCTCGTACGACCTGTCTTTTTAGCTTAACATGGTTTGGATTCATGTAACTCTAATTTACTTATTTTTATTGCAGTATAATATTTCATTGTCTAAATATTACCACAACTTGTTTATCTGGTCTTCTACTGATAGACTTTTGTGTTGTTTCCAATGTTTTGCTATTGCAGTGCAACAGTGAATGTTCTTATAGTACCAATGTTGTGTTTTTCTGGTAATCTACAAACAGAATGCTTGTTGATCACCTAAAGGCATTAGTTTTTTGTTTTTTTTTTCTTTAGATGGTGTTCTGCAACAGCCAATGAGATTGTTGTCTGCCTCAATGGATAAAACCATGATTCTTTGGGCTCCAGATGAAGAGTCAGGCGTTTGGCTAGAACAGGTAAAATGTGAATACTTAAGGAACAGAAAACTGGGTTTATTAGACAGTAAATCCCAAGTCTGTATTCCTAGAGCTGCAAATATTTGCTCTTTGTGTACGTTAAATAAGTGAGAACATCATCTCTGGAATGAGTGATTTCTGTTGTGAGAAATTGGTTCTGAATTGTTTTCCGTCTATCGTTGAATAGGTTCGAGTAGGAGAAGTAGGTGGCAATACCCTGGGATTTTATGATTGCCAGTTCAGTGAAGATGGCTCCATGATCATTGCTCATGCTTTCCACGGGGCACTGCACCTTTGGAAACAGAATGCCACTAACCCAGTAAGAAAAGTGCTTTTAAATCATTTCTGATTAGATAGAGTGAATCCTACATGAAACCTAGGAAAACAGTGTTGTTTTATGTATAACACTCTACAGAAACATAGTAGAGGCATTTAAGTTCAGGTGGCATCACTTCTTTATGTAAATTTATTCTGTAGTTATATTAGGTAAGAAACTCATGCTTTTCTAAGAATAAAATTCAGTTGTCCAGCATTGTTGAGATATTGAAATTTGCAGGTAGGTAAACTTACGTAAGGGAAGTTTAAGCTGTATAAATTTTAAGCTCTCCATTAAAGCTATATTCGTTTTGTGGTAGGAGTTTTTCCTAAAATGTATAATTTCTTTGCCTTTTTAAAAATTAATTTTCTTTTTTAATTAATTAATTTATTTTTGGTTGTGTTGGGTCTTCGTTGCTGTGCACAGGCTCTCTCTAGTTGCTGTGAGTGGGGGCTACTCTTCGTTGTGGTGCACGGACTTCTCATTGCAGTGGCTTCTCTTGTTGTGGAGCATGGGCTCTAGGCACGCAGGCTTCAGTAGTTGTGGCTCGCAGGCTCAGTAGTTGTGGCTCACGGGCTCTAGAGCACAGGCTCAGTAGTTGTGGTGCACGTGCTTAGTTGCTCCGTGGCATGTGGGATCTTCCCGGACCAGAGCTCGAACCCATGTCCCCTGCATTGGCAGGTAGATTCTTAACCACTGCGCCACCAGGAAAGTCCCTCTTTGTCTTCTTAAAAATAACATAATTTGATATTTTCCTGTTGGATAGCTAGGTACTCCATTGATAATTATTGAATGAATGACTGACACAGGGCATTAGAAGCACCTGTTATTTTATGACAGAATATATTAATTCTCTCAGGGGCTCTTGATATGTGTAATTCTAAATAGTCCTCCAAATATTGGGCTCTTCTAGATCTTATAGTTTTTAGCCTCTTCTCAGAGAGGGGTAATCTTCCTCTAATCATTTAGCTGCCTCTCAGCATTATTCCAATCTCTTCTTTCTAATTTGCTTCTGATCTGCTTTTTTGGGTTTGGGGAAATGAGATAGCAGGAAAAGTGGGTAGGAGCACACGGATCTTGGCCCTAGCACTTATTAGCTGTGTTTTTGAGGTCATTACTGAACTTTTGTCTCAGGTTCCTCATCAGTAAAATGTGGACAGTAATAGCACCTACTCAGAGGATTTTTATGATACTAAAATGAATTAATATTGGTATAGTATGAGAAGTAGGGCCTGGTACGTACTGGGTACTATATATTTTAAATACATAAATCAAAGAAGTCAGAACATAGAGCAAAATGTGAGTTAGCAGATTTTGAATGTGCATCTAATGGTTTCCCTTACAAAGTAAAAATTCATAGAGCCCCAGTGGTGCAATTGGTTAGTGTGTGGTACTTAAGTACAAATTCATGGATTTGCATGACCTTTAGTTTGTGGGCTTTGTAATAGTTGTGTCAGGTAGGAGGATTTGAATTCTCAGTGTATGGAGTGATTTACTTTTCCCTTGTATCTTCGATTTGGAGTTGATCTTTAAGATTGTTTTTACTGTTAAATGAACCAGGGAACCATTAGCTATGACACTTGTAAATAAGATATTTTTTAGGATAAATGTAATTTTGTTCTTTTTTTTTTTTTTACTTTATTTTTGGCTGTGTTGGGTCTTCGTAGCTGCGTGCGGGCCTTCTCTAGTTGTGGCTCACGGGGGCTACTCTTCATTGTGGTGTGCAGGCCTTCTCACTGTGGTGGCTTCTCTTGTTGCAGAGCATGGGCCCTAGAGCGTGGGCTTCGGTAGTTGTGGCTCGCGGGCTCTAGAGAGCAGGCTCAGTAGTTGTGGTGCACGGGCTTAGTTGCTCCGTGGCATGTGGGATCTTCCTGGACCAGGGTTCAAACCTGTGTCCTCTGCATTGGCAGGCGGATTCCCAACCACTGCACCACCAGGGAAGTCCCTTAATTTTGTTCAGAGCTCCTTTGAGCTGTATTTCAGCTGGTCTTCAGAGGGCCTTCATAGAAAAAAGCATCAGTTAAGTAGGGAGAAACTCAAACCAGAGGACAGAATTTCACTGTACTTTTGCTTGTAACTTGACTTCATATTTATAATAGTTATTTACCAAGTATTTAGGGTGATTTTTTATAGACTTTTGTTTATTTTAAATATATTTTTTTGCTTTTTGATGAGGACCGATTTTAAAGTCTTTCATTGAATTTGTTACAATATTGCTTCTGTTTTATGGTTTGGTTTTTTGGCCGAGAGGCATGTGGGATCTTAGCTCCCCGACCGGAGATCAAACCCGCACTCCCTGCATTGGAAGGTGAAGTCTTAACCACTGGACTGCCAGGGAAGTCCCTAGACTTTATTTTTTAGAGAAATTTTAAGTTTACAGAAAAACTGAGCAGAAAATGCAGAGTTCCCATTTTCCCCTTCCCCCCCACATGCACAGCCTCCTCCATTGTCAGCATCCCGCACCAGAGTGGAAATTTATTACAATCAGGGGTGATTTCTAAAAACAAACACTGCCCTTTAGGACTGTACCCATAGTCAAAAGTGCTGCACTTTGTTCAGAACTTTTTGGAACCTCCCATTAGTGCTAACTTTAGAATCAATTTTTATGTCACAGAAGAAATTAACAGCATTTCTTTGTTCCAGCCTATTTATGTTTTTGACCAGAAAATAATATAGCTTAGCTGACCATACTAATTAGACTTGGCTTTGAATGACCTTTTAGCTCTTTATACAAATATAATTTTCCTCTAAAGTTCAAGTTTTACCACCGCTTGAGTTGTTGAAAAAGAAGCTCTGTGGACCACGCATATGACATTTTCTGCATTTCATTTCACTGTTTATGTGGTTGCTGATGCAGGTTCCCTCAGGAGGTGGACTAACTATGTTTGATTTGACCTCTGTCCTCTACACCTGCAGCTCTTTTCACTTAATAAAGCAAGTTGGTCAGGCACACACAATCTACAGACTCACATTACACAGTGCTCTACTATTTAGTTTGACAGATAAATACTCACATAGTATCTAGTATGGGCCAGCCTTGTACAAATATAGATTCATCTAATTCTTGTAACAAACGTATGATCTAGGTAGCTCTTTTACAGAAGGGTTAATTGAGGCACAAAAAGGTTAGGCAGTGTTCTAGGAGGCAGTCATAACTGATGAATGGGGGGGACTTTCCCAAGGTTACTGCTTTGAAGGACACAACGCATGCTTGAATGTTTAAGTTCTAATATATTGATACTTGACTGGAAAACAGATCCTATTACTTTAAGTTCCCATCTTGTTTACTTAGCTCTTCACCTTGCTTGAGGGCTAAGGTCTTTCCCATATCAGACCTGAGGGATGAAGGCATTATCAGGTCTTTGATAATTATGATGGTCTTTGATTATTTTGATGTGTCATGAGCACTTGCATTGCAGAGAGAGTGGACTCCAGAGATTGTTATTTCAGGACACTTTGATGGTGTCCAAGACCTAACATGGGATCCAGAAGGAGAATTTATCATTACTGTTGGTAATGACCAGACAACTCGACTTTTTGCTCCATGGAAGAGAAAAGACCAATCACAGGTAAAATGTCTTCCTACTTGACTGATCCACTTTACAAAACATCCATGAGCACATGAAAAGTGGGGCAGCAACATTAGCCATTAGGGAAATGCAGATTAAATCCATGATGAGATGCCACTGTACACGCTCTAGAATGGCTAAGGTATAAAATACTGACAGTAGCAAGTGGTTGTAAGGATGCCGAGTGACCGGATCTTTCTTACATTGCTAATGGGAATGCAAAATGGTATAGCCACTCTGGAAAACGGTTTCCTATTTTCTTAAAAACTGAAGCATTCCAAAGAAGACATACAGATGGCCAACAGACCCATGAAAAGATGCTCAGCATCACTGATCATCAGGGAAATGCAAATCAAAACCACAATGAGTTACCACCTCACACCTGTCAGAATGGCCATCATCAAATAGATAACAAATAATGACTGTTGGCCAGGAGGTGGAGAAGAGGAGTCCTCCTGCACTGTTGGTGGGAATGTAAGTTTGGTGCAGCCACTGTGGAAAATGGTATTGAGGTTTCTCAGAATATTAAAAATAGGACCACCCCATGATCTAGCAGTCTCACTTCTGGGTATTTACTTGAAGAAAACAAAAACACTAATTAGAAAAAATGTATTCACCTCTTTGTTTATTGAAGCATTATTTATAATAGCCAAGATATGGAAGCAGCTAAGTGTCCATTGATGAGTAGATAAAGAAAATGTGGTATATAGGCAATGGAATATTACTCAGCTATTAAAAAAATGAAGTCTGAAATATATGCACAACTGAGTCACTTTGCTGTACAGCAGAAATTAACACAACATTGTAGATCAACTACTTCAATAAAATTAAAAAATAAAAAACTTTTAAAAATGGAAAAAAAAATGAAGTCTTGCCATTTATCACAACATGGATCTAGAGGATATTGTGCTGAGTGAAATAAGTCAGATAGAGAAAGACAAATACCTTATGATCTCATATGTGGAATCTAAAAAACAAAACAAACGAACAAAGTGAAAACAGACTTATAGATACAAAGAAAAAAACGGGTGTTTGCCAGAGGTTTGGAGCCAGGTGAAATAGGTGAAGGGATTAAGAGGCACAAACTTCCAGTTATAAATAAGTCACAAGAGTGTGATATACAGCATAAGAAATATGGTCAATAATGCTGTAATTACTTTGTATGGGGACAGGTGGTTACTAGACTTACCATGGTCGACGATTTTGTAATGTATTTAAATGTCGAGTCACTATGTTATACACCTGAAACTAACATAACACCACATTTTATTTCAACTGTATTTCAGTTAAAGGAAACTTAAGCATACACATATTCTTTATAATTCAAACAATTAAAATGTTAGCTGTCAAAATGTGTTTACTTCAGTTCCACATAAAAGTTCTCATAATACCTTGTAATTTTAGGTTTAACTCATTAGGAAACACTAACAAGGGAATTCCCTGATGGTCCAGTGGCTGAGACTCTGTATTTTCACTGCCGAGGGCTCGGGTTTGGGTTCGGTCCCTGGTCAAGGAACTAGGATTCCACAGACCGTGTGGCGCAGCCAAAAAAAGAAAGAAACACTATCAAGTCTGTAGTAAAAGCTAATTTCTAACATCATATAGTGTTAAATAATAGTGGTCGAGGCCAGTTTTTGTTCAAGGAACTTTTCAGGCTTGGCCCTGAGCTTTAAAAAACCGCAATAAAACTTTACCACTATAAACCATTGAACTGTATACTCAGAGAAACTATGGTCAGCTTCAGTTTCTGATAAAAATTCATGGAACTGACTCTGGGTCAGTCTATGAAGCTAATGAAATTGGCCACTGACATTTCTGCTTCAGCAGCATGTGGTAGATTAAAATTGGTAGAGTTGAGGACATTGGGAACAACACTATAGTCAAGTAAAAAGCAAGGCAAATAATTTTGGAGTGGTTTTCTGTGGCTCTTGGTAATTTGTTATCAGTATAACTCAGTTGTTGTTTATTCATGATCCTTTAAAAAAAAATCAATAAATCAGACTTTACCAAAATGTGAAATTCTACTCTTTGAAAGACATTGTCAGGGGAATGAAAAGTCACAAACTGGGAGAAAGTATTTACAAAACATATACCTGATAAAGATTTTTATCTAGAGTATATAAAGAACTTTTTGGAACTCAGTAATAAGAAAACAATCCATTTTTTAAAAAAAGGGGGCAAAAGATGTTTATCCAAAGAAGATGTATGGATGGAAAATAAGAACAGGAAAAGATTCTCAACACCATTAGTCATTAGGGAAATGCACATTAAAGCTACAATGAGATACCATGACACCCCTATTAGAATGATACAGTTGAAAGACTGACTGCACGAGTGTTGATGAGGGAGGGTGTGGGCAGCTGGATCTCTCATACACTGCTGGTGGGATTCTAAACTGTACAGCCACTTTGGGAAATCATTTGGCAGTTTCTTAAAAATTTAAATATACATCCACATCATCCAGTTATTATACCCATAGGTAATATTTACCCAAGAGAAATATATTCATGTAGACTTATACACGAAAATTTGTGACTTTTTCTAGTAAGACAAAAACTGGAAAACAACCCAAATGTCTGTAAGTAGGTGAACAGATCAACAAGTTGTGGTATAGCTGTACAAGGGAATACTACTCAGCAATAAAAAGTATTGATCTGTTGATAAACAGAACAACTTGGATGAATCTGCCCCATGGTCACATTTCCATGGCATAATGAATGATTTTGTGTCTGGTATTTTGTGATTGTTGAAAAGAATTCAGTTTTTGAAACGTGTGATCATTTTTGTTTATCTTATTTTGATACCCAGGTGACCTGGCATGAAATTGCAAGGCCTCAGATACATGGATATGACCTGAAATGTTTGGCAATGATCAGTAGGTTTCAGTTTGTATCTGGAGCAGATGAAAAAGTTCTTCGAGTATTTTCTGCACCTCGAATTTTTGTGGAAAATTTTTGTGCCATTACGGGTCAGTCACTGAATCACGTGCTTTGTAATGTGAGTATTCCTCTAAATGTTTTAACTAGATCTAGTTAACCCTTCATATAAAATTTTAGGGCTTCCCTGGTGGCGCAGTGGTTGAGAGTCCGCCTGCTGATGCAGGGGACACGGGTTCATGTCCTGGTCTGGGAAGATCCCACATGCCGCGGAGCGGCTGGGCCCGTGAGCCATGGCTGCTGAGCCTGCGCGTCCGGAGCCTGTGCTCCGCAACGGGAGAGGCCCGCGTACCAAAAAAAAAAAAGAAAATTTTAGAAAGTTTCACTTAAGGCTGTAAATGAGTATATGGGTAGAAAGAAAGTCAAATCATTTTATTATTGGCTTGACAAACTTTTGTGTGCACTGTGGCAGGCAGTAAATTAAATATTAATATAAGAAATTTTGTAACAGTTAAGCCCAAGAGACTGTAAAGAATTAAAATGTTAAATTAAGGCACGAATACTATGCGTCTTCACTGTGCTTGGTAACTACGATAAAACAAAGCATAATAGATGGGTCATATTTTCAAGGAGATTACCATCTAGATGTAGATTAGGGGTAGTGGACAATGGAACGAATGTACCTGTAATTATTAGATGAAACCAGTTAATTGCTAAATCTTGTGACTAAAGTAATTTTCATAGGAGGAAGTGGTCGCTGTAGTAGAATAATGAGAAAATGGGGCTTCATTTGAGTTTTGAAAGGGTAAGTTTTTATTAATGTTTGTTTATACCCCCTTTCTACAAAAGATTTGAGCACTTACAAAAATACATAGGTTATAAACATTATAAAGTAACCAGTTATGAAGGAAGGGAAAGTAAGTAGGAAGGTAGTTGTGTTACACAGAAGTGCACGTCATACAGTCCGTTGCAGCACTTAGAGTTGGGTCATGAATTTGCTTCTGATCTTGAAAAGGATGAGTACAATTTTGATAGGCAGATGGAAGGACAGAGAGCAGTGGGGTGGCCAGAGCTGCTTGAATGAAGAGTATATAGAGGGAAATGGAGGGGCTGGGGGAAAGTCAAATGGTGGAGGACCTTGGGAGGCAGGCATAGTTCAGACTCTGGTACCAGCGGAGGTCCCTAAACAAAGAAAGTGATGAAAAGCACTTTGGGGCGAAGAGTTATGTGGGAGCAGGATACCTTTGAGCCCAGAGACTTTGAAGGCAGGGACACTAGCACCGGTCTGGGTAAGACTGGAGAAGAAAGTAAGAGTCATTTTAAAAGAAATGTCCAACTATGTTTCTTGGAGTGTATCATGGGTGCCTCAGGCCACAGGCTCTCTTGATTAGGTAAAGGAGATGAAAGATTCTGTTATGCTGTTTCTAATGCTAATGGACAGTGGAACAAGATCAAAAGGGAGGCCTCAACTGGTTATTATACCGTGCTGAGCATATGGTGGTGGAGGGCAAGTTGGTTTGAGGATCTGACAATTCTAGGGATTGAAATGTGGTTTTAGGATTCCATAAGAGGCTAGTCCCAGGTGTATATTCAATTCTGTGTCCTAAGATACAGGAATCCTGTAGACTGGAAAGCCTCTTGCTGCTTTTTGGGTTTGTTCCCATACTAAATGTTGGGATATATAGTAATGCCTCTTATTGCTCTTTTCCATGGTGTTTTATTTTTCTTGTTTTCTAAAATAAAGCATCCGTTTCAGGTACCTATTCTTGGTGATGGTTTAAATTCCCATAGCTCATGTTTGTGTTCAGTTCCAGCCCCTGTATTAAAATTTAAATTGTAAGAAATGCTCTTAGCTTATGGACATGTGCCAATTTTGATGGTTAGCATTTGTTTCATATGTAATAATTTAATTGATATTGTAGGATATAAGCAGATTATTGCCACTTCAAAGGGCACTCTGTTACAAGGTTTTAAAATATTCAAAATTTTAAATATGTTTAATGAAAATACTATGTGCCTTCCTGGGAAACATGTGTGTTTATATGAGCATCACCAGGGATGTGCCTGTGAGACACTTGGAAATAAAGCTCCAGACCTTCCATTCTCAGCCCATTCTTCGCTAGAAGCCGGCACAGTGCTTTCCTTGTCACACCCTGACACCCATTGAGCTGTCAGGGTTCGATGAGCTTGTGGATGAGAGGATGCCCGACTTTATGGATTGGGTCGGGGCTGGGGATTAGCTGGAGCCTCTCTGCTGGAGAGTGATTGCTTAGTATTGCATCTCTCAGTTCAGGAAATGGAAGTGTGGGCAGATATCCACACAGAATGGTAAAATGGTCTTTACACTGCTTCTCAGCATTTGTGAGCATAACATTTTTTTATAGTGACTGAGGTAACAGTAACTTTTAGCATTTAAAACATGTATCATACTTTTTATTCCAGCAAGATGGTGATCTTCCAGAAGGAGCTACCGTCCCTGCTTTGGGATTATCAAATAAAGCTGTCTTTCAGGGTAAGGCTTTCGTCTCCAAAATTACTGAACCTATAGTGGTGCTTAAAACCTAGTTACACATTTGTATATTATGTACCTAATGTTCATTACAGGTGATTTATTATTTTTAAAAATCACAGTACATGCATCTCCTGTCAGATATTTCATGGTAAGTACTCTGTGTACACATGCAGACCCTGAAATAGGTGCTGCTTTTACAAAGTGTATTTCATGGAGCACTCACAACCACAGATGCTAATGTGGATAGCTTGAAAAATGTGTTCCACAGTATAAAAAGTTTGGGAAACATTAGGTCAAAGGAAAAGGAAGGAATCTATGGAATTGACCAGTGCTCTAAGGAGCGCATTTGGAAAATACCAGAGTAATGGAAATACCCTTGGCTTTGCCATCACGCGAATACAGCGTTGAATTACACTGCCTTCAGGTACCACTATTTTCTAACTAGTGGCCTTAATATTGGGACATGTGCAGGAGACATAAAGTTGGTGACTACATTCATGATGTTGATGTTTGTTTTAAACTAGGAGATACAGCGTCTCAGCCTTCTGATGAAGAGGAGCTGTTAACTAGTACTGGTTTCGAATATCACCAGGTGGCCTTTCAACCCTCCATACTTACTGGTAAGAAAAGGCAAAAAGATGGTTCGCTAGAATCATTAGTACAGTACACATAGTATGGGGTCTGTCACCACTGACCTCAATAAGTGCTGCAGAATTCACTTGTTTATCTGCATGAAAGTGGAAAAATTAATTGCAATGCTATAAATTTATTGTAGAACCTCCCACTGAGGATCATCTTCTGCAAAATACTTTGTGGCCTGAAGTTCAAAAACTGTAAGTTAAATTGTACTTAGCTCTTTAGTCTGATTCGATCGTAACTTGTGATGCCCCCTTCCCAACCAGTTTGATTTTCTCCTTTGCTTTCCTCTTACCTACATTTTCCCTCCTGCTGTAAACATCTCTTGATGGCCTTCATAAGGGGTGAAAATCAAACTTCACATAGGTATTTATATTGCTATGTATTATATTTACTAGATTTATTGGTCTTGATTTTTAAAGTAGAGAGACATAACACTATTTTTTTTCCTTTTTAAAAAAAATTTTAAGTTTTGTTATTCTCTTGGTCTTTTTTTTCCTACAGTGTTTCCCTATCAGGACCTTTCTATGGTTTGTTATTTATGGTAGTGGCTGGCTGGCGGTGAAAACTTGTATTTTAATCTAGTTGTTTGAATAAGTTGTATTACTACTAGGAAGTTGGCATTTTTCTCCAGTCTCTGCTTTTACCCCAAATATTTACCTAGACAAAAGTACAATGTTTCTTAAAAGAACTGTGTGTTAGCTGGAGAGATTGATTTCTTTTCTCATTTAAAAATTTTGCAGCACAAGAATAGGTACATTTACTAATTACCTACTTACAGGGGTCATCCATTTTCTCTTTTTAAATTTTAGATACGGACATGGTTATGAAATATTTTCTGTTGCTTGTAGCAATTCAAAGACACTGCTTGCCTCAGCTTGTAAGGTAGGGCATTTTACTTTTTTATTCTACTTGGTCACAGGTTATTTGCGTCATCAGGCTCCTGCAAGCTTAGTAGTGATGGAGGCAGAATTTGACACGAAAGGCCACAGGTGCCTGATTTTTCTGAATCTTGCTTTCTCAGTCTCTTTATTCTGTCCCATCAGAAGCTTGCAGTTGCCTTTTAAATCTGTTTCAGCTGCACATTTTTGTTCTTAAATACTTGGTTTGAGCTGATTTATGCCGCTACTCAGAAACTATTTAATCAGGTATCTTAAAATGAGAGCTAAAAATGTGGTAACATAAATTTTTAGTAATGGGAGTCCTGGAGACAGGGGAATGAGAAGGTGAAACCCTGCACCATGTATGCCATCTGACCATCTCTTGAGGACACTGTGGGTGCTGACCTAAGTGAGTAGAGTCCCTTGGCCCTTGCCACGGTGAGGCAGGATGGTGGCCAGCTCAGTGAGCCACCAGCACGTGACACTGCGGAATAGTGCATCTCAGACATCTGCCTGGGAGAATGATCTTGAACTTGCTATTCAGTATTTATCTATATACTGTGGAGGATTGTGTGAAAGGTCTGAGACCTACACATTCCCCTAACTTTCCTAAAATTTATTTATTAAAACACCAAGAAAATTTATTTATCTGTTTTAAGCATGATGATGAGAGCTGCCCACCTGGATGGGCACCTATGGGGTTTTTTTGTTTTGGGGGTTTTTTGGTATGTTTGTTTTTTGTCCCTGCTCTTGCTGTGGTTTCTTGCTACTGGCCTGTATTGAGGGACATCCTAGGAAATAATTGTTGTGCTCCTTCTGCCCCACCCCCTTGTTTGTTGTCCTCTTTGTGAGGGTGGTACTGAGAGGGTGGTACTTCCTTCTGTTAATACAAGGGCCTTTGGAAAGAATAGGGCATAAGTAGCAAGAATAACTGTGCTTCTACTGAGCAGCTAATTTGTGTCTTAGGGCACTGTCAATCACATAATTATTTTCTCCTTTTCAAGTTGGCTCACTTGTAGCAAGTATGTGCATTTCTTTTTTGAACTAACATTTTTAGCTGCTTTATTTAGGTGTCATTAGCGTGCTGTCAACTGCATGTTGAAAGTGAACAATTTGATAAATTCTGACATATGTTTATACCTGTGAAATCATCACTACATATCAAGATAGTGAACATACCATCAGCCCCCCAAATTTCCTCTGCCCCATCCCTAGTAAACCACTAATCTGCTTTTTATCATGATAGAGTAGTTTACATTTTCTAAATTTTTGTATGAATGGAGTCATATAGTATGCACTCTTTTTCATCTGGCTTTTTTCATTTAGCATAATAATTTGAGATTCATCCATGTTGTTGCATGTATCAGTTGCTCATTTTTTTTTTCTGCATAGTCTTCCCTTTTACAGATATACTACAATTTGTTGATCCATACACTTATTAATGGACATTTGGGTGATTTCCAGTTTTTGGCTTTTATTAATAAAGCAGTTATGAATATTTGTATACAAGTCTTTGCATGGATATATGCTTTCATTTCTCTTGAGTAAATACATATGAGTGGAATTGCTGGGTATATGGTAGATGTATATTTAAATTTTTAAGAAATTGACAAACTATTTTCCAAAGTGGTTGTACCATTGTACAATCCCACTAGCAATATATGAGAGTTCCAGTTGCTCCACGCCCTCACCAGTGCGTGGTATTGTCAGTCTTTTTAACATTAGCCATTCTGATATCCCACTAGCAATATATGAGAGTTCCAGTTGCTCCACGCCCTCACCAGTGCGTGGTATTGTCAGTCTTTTTAACATTAGCCATTCTGATAGGTTTGTAATATCTCATTGTGCCTGTAATTTGCATTTCCGTAATGATTAAATGATGTTGAACAGCTTTTCATGTGCTAATTTTCCAACTGTATGTCTTCTTTGATGAAGTATCTGTTCAAATCTTTTGCCCAGTTCTTTATTGTATTTTCTTATTACCGAATTTTGAAAAGCTCTTTATATACACTGGATACTACTTTATCAGATATATGCTATGTAGGTAGTTTTCCCCAGTGACTTTTCCTTCATTTTCTTAACAATGTTTTTCAAAGAGCAGAAGTTGTATGTTTTGGTGAAGTCTAATTTATCAGTTTTTTTCTGTATTGGGTTTGTGCTTCTAATGTAGTATCTAAGAAATGTTTGCCTGGGACTTCCCTGGTGGTCCAGTGGTTAAGATTTCACATTCCCACTGCAGGGGTCGTGGGTTTGATCCCTGGTCAGGGAACTAAGATCCCGCATGCTGTGCAGAGTGGCCATAAAAGAAAAAGGAAAGGAAGAAATCTTTGCCTGACTCAAGTTCTTTTGCCACATTTTGTTCTAGGAGTTTTATAGATTTTAAGTTTTATGTTTAGACCTATGATACATCTTTTATTAATTCTTCCTGTTGTATGGAGTATATATTACACTTGATTTTTTTTGCATGTGGATATCCAGTTGTTCCATCATTATTTGTTGAAAAGACTATCCCTTCACCTCGTACCTTTTGCATCTTTGTCAAAGTTAGCTGTCCATATATGTTTGGGTCTATTTCTAGACTTTATTTTGTCCTACTCATCTTTTTTTTTTTCTTTCCTGTTTTGATGCCAGTGCCGCAGTCTCTTTAACAACTATAGCTTTTTATACTGTGTCTTGAAACCAGGAGGTAATTGTCTTCTAACCCTCTTCTCACTTTTCAAATGTAGTTTGGCTAGTCTAGGTTCTTTACTTTTCCACATGAATTTTATAATCAGCTTGACAGTTTCTACAAAAGTATGTGCTGGCATTTTGATGGGGATTGCATTGAATCTATAGATTAATTGTGGAAGAATTTTAACAATATTGAGTCTTGACACATGAATGCAGTATGCCTCTCATTTATTTAGATCTTTAATTTCTCTCAGGGTTTTGTTTGTTTTTTTTTAGTAAGCCTTTTATCTTGGAATAATTTTATATTTAGCAAAAGTTGCAGAGATAGTACCTAGAATACCATTATACCTCCTACCCAGTGTTAACATCTTAATATTATCAGGAATATTTTGTACTTTTCAGTGTCAGGTCTTACACATATTTTGTCAGATTTATCCTTATTTCATATATTTTATGTCTGATTGTTCATTGCTCACATAAGGAAATGCAGTTGCTTTTTGTAATCAGTTTTTTATCCTGCAACTTGCTAAACTTATTACTTCTTATAGCTTTATTGTAGATATTGGATTTTCCACATAGATGCTTATGTTGCCTGTGAATAAAGAAAATTTTACTTCTTCCTTTCCCATATGGATGTCTTAATGTTGACTAGACGTTGTAACATCAGAAGTCCTCACCTATTCCTCATCTGAGCAACAGAATATTTAGTTTTGTCCATTAAGTGTTATGCTTGCTGTGGATTTTTTTTTATGGCTCTTCTTTATCAGGTTGCAAAATCTCCCTGCGGTTCCTAGTTTGCAGAGAGTTTTTATCAGGAATGGATGTTAGGTTTTGTCAAATGTTTTTTCTTTATCTCTTAACATGATCATATGTTTTTCCCATTTTAGTTTATTAATATGGTGAATTACATGGATTGATTTTTCAAATGATGAACCAACTTTGCATTCCTGGAACCAAACCCCAAATGCTTATATTATATATATATATTTTTTTTCAATTATTCTTTTTATTGAGGTATAACTGACATATATAACATTATATTAGTTTCAGGTGTACAACATAATGATTCAATATTTGTATACATTGTGAAGTGATCACCACAATAAGTCTAGCTAACATCCATCATCATACACAGTTACAAGAAATATTTTTTTCTTGTGCTGAGGACTTTTAAGATTTCAGCAACTTTCAAATACGCAGTGCAATATTAACTATAATCACCGTGCTCTATGTTACATCCCCCTGACTTCGTTATTTATAGCTGGACGTTTGTACGTTTTGACTCCCTTCACCCATTTCATCTATCCCCCAGTCTTGGCTTCTGGCATCTCCCAATTCATTCTCTGTATGTCTATGAGCTTGGTGGTTTTTTTTATTGTTGCTGTTTTTAGATTCTGCTTATAAGTGAGATCGTACAGTATTTGTCTTTGTCTGACTTATCTCACTTAGCATAATGCCCACAAGGTCTATCCATGTTGTCACAAATGGAAATATTTCATTGGTTTTTTTTTTGTTTTATTTTTTGTTTTTTTTTGCGGCACACGGGCCTCTCACTGTTGTGGCCTCTCCCGTTGCGGAGCACAGGCTCCGGACGCGCAGGCTCAGCGGCCATGGCTCACGGGCCCAGTCGCTCACGGGCCCAGTCGCTCCGCGGCACGTGGGACCTTCCCGGACCGGGGCACGAACCTGTGTCCTCTGCATCGGCAGGCGGACTCTCAACCACTGCGCCACCAGGGAAGCCCTCATTGTTTTTTATGGCTGAATACTCTTCCACCATGGTGTGTGTGTCTGTCCGTTTTCTTTATCCATTGATCCATTTTCTTTATCCATTTGATGGACACTTAGGTTGTTTCCATATGTTGGCTATCATAAATAATGCTGCAGTGAACATGGGGGTACACATATCTTTTCAAGTTAGTGTTTTTATTTTCTTTGGGTAAACACCCAGAAGTGGAATTGCTGGATCATATGTTAATTCCAGTTTTAATTTTTTGAGGGACCTCCATACTGTTTTTCATAGTGGCTGCACCAGTTTACATTTCCACCAGCAAGGCACAGGGTTCCCTTTTCCCCATATCCTCTCCAGCACTTATTCCTTGTCTTTTTGATGATAGCCATTCTGATGGGTGTAAGGTGATATCTCATTGTGGTTTTGATTTGCATTACCCTTATAATTAGTGATGTTGAGCATCTTTTCATGTTTCTGTTGGCCATGTATATGTCTTCTTTGGAAAAATGTCTATTTAGATCCTTTGCCTATTTTTTATTTATTTATTTAATTTTATTTTATATTTTGCTATTCAGATGTATGTGTTCTTTATATAGTTTTTATATTAACCCCTTAACAGATGATTTGCAAACATTTTCTCCCATTCAGTAGGTTGCCTTTTCATTTTGTTGGTGATTTCTTATATTTTTATATATTGTTGGATTCAGTTTGCTAAAATTTTGTTTAAAACTCTCATATATAGTATGTGAGAGACATTGCTGTGTAGTTTTCTTTCCTTGTAATGGCTTCATCTGGTTTTGGTATCACAGTAATATTAGCCTCATAGAAATATTTCCTCCTTTGCAATTTTCTGGAAGAGTTTGTGAAGAATTGGTATTTCCTTTTTTAAATATTTGGTAGAATTTCCCAGTGAAGCAAACTGACCTTGAGTTATCTTTGTGGGAAGGTTTTTAACTACCTATAATTTTTTAAATAGATGCAGGGCTATTTCATTCAAGATATCTAATTTTTCGTGGGTGTACTTTGATGGTTTGTGTCTTTCAGGAAATTTGCCCCTTTTATCTGATTTGTCATATTTGTTGGCATAAAGTTGTTCATAGTATTCCCTTTTGATCCTTTTATTACCTGAAGAATCCCTGGTGATGTTACCTTTCTTATTCCTGTTATTGGCAATTTGTCTCTTTTCTCTCATACCCTCTTTTTTTTTTTTGGTGGGAGAGAATTCTGGGAATTGACCAGGAAATTAATGAGTTTATGATTTTATTAATATTTTCAGAGAACAAGCTTTTGGTTTATTTATTTTGATTTACTTTTGGCTGCATTGGGTCTTTGTTGCTGCATACGGGCTTTCTCTGGTTGCAACGAACGGGAGCTACATACACTCCGTTGTGGTGCACTGGCTTCTCACTGTGGTGGCTTCTCTTGTTGCGGAGCACAGGCTCTAGGTGCACAGGCTTCAGTAGTTGTGGCACGTGGGCTCAGTATTTGTGGCTCACAGGCTGTAGAGCACAGGCTCAGTAGTTGTGGCACACAGGTTTAGTTGCTCCGCGGCATGTGGGATCCTCCTGGACCAGGGCTTGAACCGTGTCCTCTGCATTGGCAGGCAGATTCTTAACCACCACACTACAAGGGAAGTCCTCATTTCTTTTTCTGTCTCTAATAAGGTTAAAACTGAGGTCATTGATTCTAGATCTTTCTTTCTAATATAGGTGTTAAGTGCTATAAGTTTTCCTCTAAGTATTGCTTTCGAGGCATTCTGCAAATTTTGATACGTTGTGTTTTCATTTTCATTCAATTAAAAACACTTTCTAATTTCTCTTTGATTTTATTTTTTAGCTTAGGTTATTTTGAAATGTATTAGTTTCCATATACTGAGTGTTTTTCAGATATCTTTCTGTTATCGATTTCTAATTTAAGTTTATTTTGTTCAGAAAACATAGTATGACTTCAATCCTTTGATATTTAATCTTGGTAAATTTCCATGTTCTTTTGAGAAGAATTTGGATTCTGTTTATTTTGGGTCGAGTGTTCTGAAAATATGAATTACATTGGTTGACAGTATTGTCTTCTTTATTCTTTTGGTTCTATCGTGAATGGCATTTTGAAATCTCTAATTGTGGACTTGTCTTTTAATCCTTATAGTTCCTTCAGTTTGTACTTTATGTATTTTTGAACTTCTGTTGTTAGATCCTAAACATTTATGATGGTTATTTTCTCTTGATTAACTGACTAGTTTCTTATTATGCAATGAACCTCTTTACTTCTGGTAATATTTTCTGCTCTGAAGTCTACTTTCTCTGATGTTAGTGTAGCCACTCCAGGTTTCCTTTGAGTAGTGCTTGAATTATGTATCTTTTTCCATCATTTTACTTTAAGCTGTTTGTTTCCTTTTATTTCAAGTGGGTTTCTTGGAGACAGCATATAATTGGGTCTTGCTGTTTTTCTCATCTTGATAATCTTTCATTTTAATAGGGGTGCTTATTAGATCATTTGCATTTGATGTAATAATTGATATGATAGATTAACTCCTTTCATCTTGCTATTTGTTTTCTATTTGATCTATCTATTCTTTGATCCATTATACTTATTTTGGATTAAGTGATTCCTTTTTATGATTCCATTTTATTTCTTTTTTTTGTTTTGTTTAGTAGATATGACTCTTTGTTATTTTATTGGTTGTTTCACATTTTATACTATATATCTTTAATTTACCACAGTTTACCATCAAGTAATACTGCACTATTTGTGTATGAGAACATAAGTATACTTTCATTTCCTTCTACTTTGTGGTATTGTTTTTGTACATTTTACTTCTTCACAGAAATCCCACAATATTATTTATACTTTAACAGTTAATTATCCCTAAAGATATTTAAATAATAAAAATATTTTTTCCATCAGATATTATTTTCATGCTGCCTACAGGATGTTCTTAACATTCCTCATAATGCAGTTCTGCTGGTCAGGAATTTTTTCAGCTTTTTGCCTGTCTGAAAAGGATCTATTTCTCCTTCATTTTTTAACAGTATTAGTGGTGGCTAAAGAATTGTTGGTTTTCGGGGCTTCCCTGGTGGCGCAGTGGTTGAGAGTCTGCCTGCTGATGCAGGGGACATGGGTTCGTGCCCCGGTCTGGGAGGATTCCACGTGCCGCGGAGCGGCTGGGCGCGTGAGCCATGGCCCCTGAGCCTGTGCGTCCGGAGCCTGTGCTCCGCAACGGGAGAGGCCACAACAGTGAGAGGCCCACGTACCGCAAAAAAAAAAAAAAAAAAAAAAAAAAGAATTGTTGGTTTTCCCTTAGGTACTTCAAAAATGTTGCTCCATTTTCCTCTGACTTGCATTGTTTTGGATGAGAAGCCCACTGTCATTTTTCTTTGTTACTTAGTAATGGTTTTTTTTCCTCCAGCTGCAATTTTATATTTTTCAGTGGTTTTAAACAATTTGATTTCTGTTGGTATAGTTTTCTTCATGTTTCTTGTGCTTGGGTTTTATTGAACGTCTTAGATCTCTAGGTTTATTGTTTTCATTGAATTTGGAAATTTTTTGGCCATTATCTTTTTAAGTATTTTTTTCTTATCCTTTTGCAGACCATAGTTATATTTGGCTGCTTGACGTTGTCATAGAGTTCAGTGATTGTTTTTTTCTTTTTCTTTTTTTCCTACTCTGTGATTCATTTTGTCTTTTAGGTATCAGTGTTCTTTGTTGCCAGATACCTAATATTTTGGAGTGCCATTATTTCGTGTATTTTGTCTGATCTTTTAGTTTTTTTCACACAAGAGAGTAAATCTGGTCCCTGTTACTCCATATTGACCAGAAGTGAAAGTTTCTAAACTACTAATTACACAGTTAATACACAGATGTATTCTTCTTGTAAAATATTAAAGTAGTATGGAGGTCCCTCAAAAAATTAAAAATAGAACTATACCATATGATCCAGCACTTCTTCTTTTGGCTGTTTATCCAAAGGAAATGAAAACATTAATTTATAAAGATATATGTACCTCTATGTTCATTGTAGCATTATTTACAATAGCCAAGATATGGAAGCAACCGAAGTGCCCATTGATAGAGGAATGGATAAGGAAGGGGTGGTGTGTGTGTGTGTGTGTGTGTGTGTGTGTGTGTGTGTGTGTGTGTGTGTGAATGGAATATTACTCAGCCTTAAAAAAGAGGAATGAAATCTTGCCATTTGTGGCAACATGGATGGACCTGGAGGGTATTATGCTAAGTGAAATGAGTAAATGAGTTAGAGAAAGACACACACCAAATGATTTCATTTATATATGGAATCTAAAAAACAAAACAAATGAACAAACAAAACAGAAACAGATTCATAGGTACAGGGAATAGACAGGGTGTTTTCAGCGGGGTGGAGGGATGACTGAAGTAGGGGTTTAAGAGGTATAAACTTTCAGTTATAAAATAAGCCACAGGGATGTAAGGTACCCATAGGGGATATAGTCAATAATATGGTAACAACTTTGTATGATGATGGATAGTAACTAGATTTACTGTGGTGATCATTTCATAATGTATAAAAATATTGAACCACTATGTCATACACCTGAAACTAATATAATATTGTATGTTAAATATAACTCAATTTTTAAAATTGTGATTTCAGTGCCAGTCTCTAATTATTCACCCTTTCTAATTCCAGTCTGTCTCTTCTCAGAGGTTACACCTGGTTATAGTATTTATAGTATTTTCTCAGAACTTGTTTTTTTTTTTACACAGATACATAAAAAATACCATAGAAACAATATTTTGAAAAATGTTTTCAGTTTATTTCACCTTAATTGCTTTATTGTTTCATCTCTGTCCTATAGGCAGCTAAGAAAGAGCATGCAGCTATCATTCTTTGGAACACTGCATCTTGGAAACAGGTGCAGAATTTAATTTTCCACAGTTTGACTGTCACACAGATGGCCTTCTCTCCTGATGACAAGTTCTTACTAGCTGTTTCCAGAGATCGGACCTGGTCACTGTGGAAAAGGCAGGACACAGTCTCACCTGAGTTAGGTAAAACAGCTGTTGGTTGGGAAGATTATTAGTGAAACAGTTATGTCCGTTTACCTACTTTGAGCAGCTGTTGTGTAAAGAGAAATAGAAATGATAACAGGGTGAAGGGCAGAGTCTGGTTGTTGTGAGTCTTTCAAAGTTTTGTGATAACTGAGGAAGACTTGACCTTCCTTGTAAGGATGATATGTATTCAGACATCTCAGTTAAAGAAACATAAAAATCTACATGTAGAAAATTTGGATTTCGCAGGTGGTTACAGAATGCCACCATAAAACCAAATGGATGATATATACTGAGGATTTTATGGGACAGGAATAATGAATATACAGTTAAATTATGAAACTCAGAAGGACCATTGTCTTTACCATTCACCTACCCACCTCTGTCACAGTGATAATTGGGAGGGGGTGTTTTAGGCATCCATTTGTGAATAACATGACCCCTGGGCAAAATGTTAACACACCTACCTGCATTCTACTTTGGATCTGGCATAAGTTGAAAAAAAAAAAAAAAAAAAGGAAAAGGAAAAAAAGCTTCGTGTGATTGCAGCAGTAGCCTATTCTTATTCTTCCAGTTTCATTGAGTAGGTAAAATCTAGAGAGCGTTTAAAGTACTTTGTGTTGTTTAATCCTGTTTTTAATTTTTCCATTGATAAAACCTACTGCAGTTTCATCTTATGATATTTTTAGTCCTTTGGGTTTGTTGTGTTTTAGAGAATACCAGGGACTATGACACATACTGAGCAGTATATGTTGTAACAGACTGATTTCATTTGCAACTAGTGATTTCCTAACATGCAACTTTTACTTTTTTAAAAAAGTTAAAGTGATATTATACTAATAACAAATCCTTTAATTTGCTATATCTTTATGGATTGTGGATTAATAGATACATTAGTCTACCCTCCATACACAGTTAACGTCTTTTACGTTTAGTCCCTATGAGGGCTAGAAGTTAGTTACCTACACTTAAAATATTGCAAGGGAAGAGATTTTTTTTTAAGTTGGTTTTTTTCTTTTACATTATTTAAGGGTTCATTAGTCTTTTTTTCCATAGCTTAATACACAGATCTGGCTACTTCCTGAGTAAGTTTAAATTTCATCAGGCTTCTTCCATAAGCATAAATTGAACTTTTAGTTAAGTGTCCAGAAGATGTTTGTCATCAGTCACTAGAGAGTGACTAGTCAGTATAAAAGCATTTCCTACTAGAAAAATAACTGTATGCACATAGCCTTCTGGTGAGAGATCAGCTGCCTGGCCTTGGTTGCAAAAGTCTGTGTATATAAATTGATTGTTAAATTACATGTTGTATATGGCATTTAAACATGGCTTTCTAACAGGTAAAAAACTGCTCTCTCCACTTTGTGACTAGTGCATATGTGTTTCTTTCAGACCCAGTTTTCAGTCTCTTTGCCTTCACTAACAGAATCACCGCTGTGCACAGTAGAATTATTTGGTCTTGTGATTGGAGTCCTGATGGCAAGTATTTCTTCACTGGAAGTCGGGACAAAAAGGTAATTTTTTTTAACTTAATATTTTTTCAAATGTAAAATAATATTACAGGTGTGTTTGGATAAAAAGCACATAATCCTAATTTTCTGATACATCTTTTAAAAATCAGTTTATTTATTTCCTTCTGTGTTTTTCATATGCGTACATAAAAAGGCTTTTCTTACTTGTTAAATTCTATAATACATGTCTCTGAAATATCAAATACGAGAAGAAGTCCCTTCAGACACATGACTATCAGATGGCTCCAGTAGGAGAAAAAGTAGTAAAGGAAATGGGTCAGGACTAAGAAAGTAGGAGAGCAGGAGTGGATGGAGGGACATAGGGAAAGACAGTTTCTGCTTTTCTTTTTCGTACTTTTGGGAATTTAAAATTCTTTCTATAATGAATGATTATTACCTTTTCATTCAGCGAAGGAGGCGGGGTGTGTGCCTGTGTGTGTCACGAGCTGTGAAAAAAATCAGAACGAGTTAGCTAGCAGTAGGTTCTTGACCATGACCCTCGCCCTTGTTCTCTGGGAAATGTTCCCCTGGCCTCTGGTCTTTCCTCTGTTTTCATGCTCTTTAAAGCATCCTTCCCTTTTTCTGCACTTCCTGCAGACCAGAGGCGCTCAGGCACTTGAGCGTTTCCTCTCCTCTCCTGCCCTCTCCAGTCACAGTCATGGTACAAGTTACAGAAGCAGAGGACTAACACAGCATGCTGTCACTCAATGAAACACTGAAATGTTAGCCTCTGAAGTGCTTTCTCTCAGACCTTTACTTCTGTCATTTGCCTATTCATTTCTTCCCCGGCATTTGTCTTCCTACTCTCTGCTAGCTGCTCAGGCAGCAGGACTGCTTCTGCCTTCCACAGTCAGGCCCGGTAGCAGATGGTCCAGCTGTGGCTGTCACAGATCAAGGCTGAAACGGACAAAGCACATCCGCCATGCAGTCTCAGGACTGCACTCCTGCTTGCTTGGGCGGAGCCCTCTGCTCAGAATCTTGCTTCGGTCCTGCGTTTTCACTTCCCTCTCCATTTCTTTGTGACCATTCACACCCTTCTGAGGCATGAGCTTCCAGGAAAGCCTCATTTCTTATGCGGTGTATCATCAAGGTTAGGGCCTCCCGAGTGAGCTGAGCTGATTCCATGAGCAGTGGGTGGTGTAGAAGAAGAGCCAGGGACTTGGTTGGTTTCATGCCTTTTGTGGTAATTTCTTGGGGTGGTGCACGAGCACCTTGAGGACGTGGTGGACAGAATCTCACTGGATCAGAACTGGTTTCCTGAGTGTAAAGAGCAGGCTAAACACACCTGGTCTCTGGGCGGGGACAGTCATCTTTGGACCAGCACAGTTGGGTAGTTGAGGTCTCAGAGACATGTATCTGCTACATGGTGGCTTCTCTGTGATGCTTGAAATGCTCAGAAGTCCTGGAACACGAATGAAAATGATGCATTTTTTAAAATGTCGTTGTCCTCTATGCCATTGAAACGCTCTAATGCATTGCTAGAAACCTTGCAAAGAGAAAGTTTTACAGAGTTTGATCTGTTTGTGTTAGGTGGTTGTCTGGGGTGAGTGCGACTCCAGCGATGACTCCACTGAGCACAGCATCGGCCCCTGCTCCTCCGTTCTGGACGTGGGCGGAGCTGTGACTGCCATCAGTGTCTGCCCAGTACTTAACCTTTCCCAACGGTCAGTCTCTGTGTGGGGCTTCATCTTATGTTTTCTTTAAGAAGACCACTTAGTTTCTCAATGTGTAGCCCTCTTATACTTTCATCTTTGGGTTCTCTTAGCTTCCAAGTTAACTATTTTTTTTTTATAATGCTTATGTTTCTCATAGGATTTCTTTTTTGTTTTTAACACCATTTTATTTTATCTTATTTTTCTGATCAACCCCATTTATTTATTTATTTGTTTGTTGGTTTGGCTGCGCTGCGTGGCTTGTGGGATCCTAGTTCCCAGATCAGGGATCAAACCCAGGCCCCCCCACAGTGGAAGCTCAGAGCCCCAAACACTGGACCACCAGGGAACTCCCCTCAAAAGAATTGCTAAATTGATAGAGCTTGATGATATTCAGCGTGGTGAAATAGAGATCGGGAGTGTGGCTCAAAGGTTCTTATTTCACCAAATTTAGGACTGTGGTGCTTTCTCTGTAACAAGTATCTTCGGTAGAACAAGGGTCTCTGCTGCCAGCCAGGGAAACACTGGCTTATAGGCCTTGCCAGCAGAGGGCAGAGGTAAAACTGTGAGCATCCTCGATGGAGAGGAGGCTCTGTGAGCGCACAGTAGAGCAGCGCACTGGATCCTGGGCCCGAATTTTAAACAGGGTCCTTTGTAAGCCAGAGACAGTTGGGAGCACTGAAGAACTACGTTAGATTGGTGATGATGGAGATAACAGAAGTTCATGCTAAATTAATCACTGTCTTTCCCTTCCCTTAAAAACAGATACGTTGTTGCAGTAGGATTAGAGTGTGGAAAGATTTGTTTATATTCTTGGAAAAAGACTGATCAAGTTCCAGAAATAAATGACTGGAGGCACTGTGTAGAAACAAGTCAAAGGTATTTCCTTCCTGTTTTTGCTTCCATCAGATTAGATAGATATCATGGAGTCTTTAGCAGCAAATCTTAGGTCACATTTGCATGGAGAGAAACACAGATCTGTTCGTGGTGCTTACTGCTAATTTGTACCTCTGTGTTTTGTGACAGTCTCTTGAGATTGACGTTTATTACTATACTGCACTTGTTTTTTAAAAGTTTATTTGACCAAATTGCTTGTTTGCATGATACTGTGTTTACAGACAACGCATTGGAGATGAAAGTGATTTTCATAATGATGAGTTTCAGAATTTGACTAAGTAGAATCTTAGTAAAATTTAATTCAAAATGTTGGTGGTGTTTTGGAAATATTATAGATTGTGTTTGGTAGCCGAATCTCGTGTTTGAACACTTTAGCTCACATCCTGAGATGGAGTAAACCGTCAAGTGCCCCTCAAAGCCCTGTGACCAGCCTTCAGGCAGAGTAAGTGCTCCTGAGCCTCGTGCCCTGGGCGTGGGCCTTTGCCACCTGAGCTGCTCAGAGCACCTGCTGTTTACAGCCTCCTCCTCATCTGCCTGCTTAGACAGCAGGGAACACTTTTTAATCTACTTCTTTACCCATTTCATTAGTTAAAAATGACTAAACTTTCAAAAAGTCATTCATGTCATTCTGTGTTAGATTTGTTTTAGGATTCTTCAACCTTCATGTATTTAAACTATCCAAAATATAACTTCAAATACAATTCCAAACAACAGCATCATGAGGAAGGTCATTGGCTTGATGCCGAGAGACATATTGTACAAGATATACCTTCCAGGGGAGTTTGTCTCCTTACCAGCAAAGCATGTTAATGCTCATGATAATTGTATTTATTTAAATGTATTTAAAATGAGATCTGCTTTATTACTGCTGTCCTTATGGGTTTTCTCCCACCTCTCTGATGCTGGGTTTAGCTGTTGAAACAGTTCATGCTATTGGCTTACTGAAGAGAGAGGTATCCAATGAAATTCCGTGTTTCAGGCACTTGAAGCTTCCTCTCTTCCTGGCCTCCCCTCCTCTTCTTTTCCTTCCTTTCACTTTGCCCTACCCATGATGCTTGCTCTGCCTCTGCCTAGTACCCAGACCACTTCTGTGGCCCGAATGTGGAACAGTGGCAAGAAGCCCCTCAGAAAGTAGGGGCAGGGGACATGTACAGAATTTGAGTTTTTCATTAAAAATTTTTTTAGTCATTATGGTGACTTTGGATTTCCAAGAACTAATTCCTGGCTTACCTTATATTATTTGGATTGCTAATATTACACTTATCAGATTACGAGTACTTTTCAAATGAAAGGTTTTGCTGATAATGAAATATAAACGAAGATAATATAAGCAAACACTGCCTTCTAGGTTGGCTCCCCGAACTCCCTGTCTTCTAAATGTGATCTGTTAACACGCTGGATTTAAAGAACATTACCAAAAAAGAAAAGAAACGAAACATACCATCTCAAAGCATATATAGCCAAATAAGTACTGTCCCTCAAAGTAACTTCTCTGGGAAGCAAAGTACTATATATATACATATATATATATATATATATATATATATATATACTAGTCTAAATATGTTCTTGTTTCAGTGATGTCACTACTTCAAATCATTCTTTTAATGAAATGAGAGAACTTTAATATTAATCCAGAACAAATGAGATCCCAGTGATGTTGCTGTTACTTAAAATATTTTTGGAACTTTTCTTTAGGAACTGTGTTCAAAACTAGCTTACCAGTGATGCAAGAAAACCAATTATGATACCTTTTATATAAAGTTTTCCTCATTTTGACCATTCACTTTTTTTTTTTTTAGCTTAACCTTCATCTTATTTATAAGCTCATATCCAGATGACTTTTGACTTCTTTCAGTAATCAGATTCATCCTCAAAGGAAGATGAGCTCTCACAGAGAATACTCAGGTCGTAGTCTGTGTGGAAGCATTTCCTTTAGGAGAATTTCAGGAAACACTGAGGCACTGCAGCATTGTTGGAATGTGTGGACCCTTCTAGAGTGGCCACTTGCAAGGGCTCACAGTCATTTGGTGACTTAGGTTCTGGTGTGCTGATTTTTTTAAATGTGTTTCATCACTTCGAGGCTATACTTCATTCTTTTGATCCTGAGAGTGCATTGGTGACAGGGACTCTCAGAGTCTGCAAGTATAATTTGTGAGCTCAGATATTATTTTCAGTGTTTACTGCTTTAAAACTTGCACCATATTCACCTTATTCCGTTTTGGTTTGGAGGACTAGTTTGCAGGTTAAATTTATAGAGGATATTATATTTCATAGAGATTTATTAATAATCTATGTTTGGTAGCATCCTAGGTTAGCCATGAGGATGGGGGCTGGGGGTAGTGTGTTAATATGAACATCTTGCCCAGGGTCATGCAGTTACAGGTCACATTGGAGACCAAGGTTCTTTCACTGGGTAGTTTATTAAATCTTTCACTATCTTTTCTTACCCAGCAGTAAATAATGAGAGTAAGCGTCCATTCAAGTTACAGGGATGTCAGAAGATCAAATATAGAATATGTTGCAAAGTTGGAATTCTTTAGAAAAGAAACACATTTAGTAATGTTACCTGAAAGACTGATTTTAATAGTTAAAATTGATGGTTAAAGCAAAATTTGACATAAATGCATTGTCTATTTCTTGCTCTTTTTGGTGGTGTCCTTGGTCAGTAAGTAAAACGTTTTCAAGGCTAACATAAAATTGCTAAAATATTAGTGATGGTATTTTAAAACCTGTACATTTAGATGGTCAGGTTTTGACTTCCATTTATGTTAACAACACTAATAGGAAGAGCATACTAACTGAATTAATATGCAGGTGAGCACCCAGAAAAATATTTCATAGTCATAGCATACATTCATTTCATGATTTCTCTCTCTTTGTTTTAGCCAAAGTCATACACTTGCTATCAAAAAATTATGCTGGAAGAACTGTAATGGAAAAACTGAACAGAATGAAGCAGAAGGCACTGAATGGTTACACTTTGCAAGTTGTGGTGAAGATCACACTGTGAAGATACACAGAGTTAACAGATGTGCACTGTAATGGACTTAATGACTGCAAGCATATACTCGTTGGTGTCTTAAAGATATTTATCATGTAAATAGATAACCTTTCTTTACCTCATAATTTCATTGCATTTCATGCTTAAGACCTAAGGCAGTAGTCCTCATGTGAGTCTCAGACCCTTTGAAATAATGATGAAAGCTACAGACTCTTTGCTCAAAATGTTTATATACACACAGTCTCAGAACCTTGCCCATACTTTCAGGGATTCAGACCTGCATCTGTGTGTCCCAGATTGAGAGCCTCTATTCTTTCTTTCTTCATGAGCAAATTTGCCTAATTTTGTGTCATTTCGGGCCTTCTCTTTTCAAAAGTTTGGGACGTTTCATTATTTACTACCCTCCTGTGAGGGATAGCCTCAAAAATAAAAAGAGATAAAACCCAGATTATTAATTTTTATTTTAACAGTTTTTTATAAATATGCAGACCACACAAAGTGTGGTCTTGACCCCTCCCTCCCAGTACACACCAACCATTCTAGGAATTTGGCAGGTTGTGAGTTGAACTGTAGTTGGTCCCTTCTCTTGTTCTTTAAAAGTACATAGATGCTTCCTTCAGAGTTTGACTTAAAGTGCTTAAAGTAACTGAGAGATATAGGGGCTGGAAAGTAGCGTCGGAATCACCTGAATTTCTGTGAAGTTGCAAGGATGAGTCCACAAGAGGAAGGATGAAGTCATGAGCGTGAAGGATGTGCCCCAGGGAGAGGGCGCGATGGGAGCAGAGGGCAGAAGAACACACCAGAAAGACAGTGTTGGGTGTGCCTGCTGAGCTTTGGGAGGCTGCCCACGAGAGCTGAGCACTTGGGAGTTGGGTGGAGAGAGGTTAAGAGAGGGTGTGGGAGAGCCTGCGAAGACTGGTGGGAGAGCCAGGCCTCTCCTGACCCTGTGGGAACATGAGCCACCTGGCAGATTGCCACTTTGCACACTGTACGTAGTAAAGAGCTGGAAGGAAGGAGGCGAGGATTTTCTTGGTGGGAGTTTATGCTATTATCTAACATGACATTTTACTTCCAAAGAAGTTAAGTGATACTTAGTCTAAATGAAGGTTTTTAGACCAGAGCTATCCAGTATTTCTAGTCCAACAGAAATATAATGTGAGCTACCTATGTACTTTAAACTTTTCTGGTAGCCACATAAAGTAAAAAGAAAGAGGTGTAATTTATTTTAATGACACATTTGTTCAAATCCAGTATATCTCAAATAGTATCATTTTAATATAGTCAATATAAAAAATTATGGAGATATTTTACCCTTTCTTCTGTATGAAAACTTTGTACACTACAAATTGCATTTTATACTTACAGCTCATCTCAATTCATACTAGCCACATTTCAAATGCTCACTAGCCACCTGTGGCTAGTGGCTATATCCATATTTGGACAGTGCAGTTCTAGACCACTGAATTTGTATAAACTTGTCTTACACCCTTAGGGGTGTGTGTGTGCATGTGAGCGTGTATGCACCAAGGCAGTGAGCACCTGAGCTTCTTAACCTCAGAAACCGGGATGCTCTGAAGTATGATTTCTTTGCTTATCTGCTGAAGGATCTGAATCTTCCCATTGGCACACAGCAATTTGTTCAGATCCTGCGCACATGGGATTCCAGAGCAGATTCAGTGGACTAACAGTACTTTAGAGCCTTTTCCAGCATGGAACTCAACCCCCTAAGGTCTCCTGAAAGCAGGCCTAGTCTTAGACCAAGTTCATGGTTAGTTGTTGTTTTGCCAGTTGTAAATAGACAGTTTTCCCACGTTGTCCTGAAGCATCTTCCTCAGTAATCACGTGTGTAATTAATTCAGTTCAGTAAGAGTTCCCAGGACTTGCTGTACATTTGGATGGTATATTGAACTTCATACACATACATCGTACTTTTACCATGATGGTCTTCATCTGCTAAAGGAGAACACTTTGAACCATACTGTAGTAGTTCATAACATCTAAAGCAAAAGGCAGTCTTGCAGCTTTGCTCTGGAGTTGCTGAGGAATATTTCAGAATCCCTGACCTGCCCTTCCTTGTTTTCCCAGATAATTTCATTTTTCTGCCTGAGTCACAGCATCAAAGCTCAGACTGATGCCAAGTGCCAACCTAAGCAGTTGCTATCTTCTGACCTACATGACTGTCCTAGATGGAGGAGACGTGATTGGGTTGTGTTCCCAGCACATGTTTACCTTGGGCAACAAGGAGCCAAATCACTGTCTTCCCAGTAGCCTCAGAGGGGAGCAGCCATGGTTATTGGTTCCAAAGACAGACTGTGGGAATTTGAGGGAGACAAAAATACCATACTGTCTTGATTACTGTAGCTTTGTAGTATAGTCTGAAGTCAGGGAGCCTGATTCCTCCAGCTCCATTTTTTGTTCTCAAGATTGCTTTGGCTGTTCGGGGTCTTTTGTGTTTCCGTACAAATTGTGCAATTTTTTGTTCTCGTTCTGTGAAAAATGCCAGTGGTAGTTTGATAAGGATTGCATTGAATCTGTAGATTGCTTCGGGTAGTAGAGTCATTTTCACAGTGTTGATTCTTCCAGTCCAAGAACATGGTATATCTCTCCATCTATTTGTATCTTTAATTTCTTTCATCAGTATCATATAATTTTCTGCACACAGGTCTTTTGTCTCCTTAGGTAGGTTTATTCCTGGGTATTTTATTCTTTTTGTTGCAATGGTAAATGGGAGTGTTTTCTTAATTTCACTTTCAGATTTTTCGTCATTAGTGTAGAGGAATGCCAGAGATTTTTGTGCGTTAATTTTGTATCCTGCTACTTTACCAAATTCATTGATTAGCTCTAGTAGTTTTCTGGTAGCATCTTTAGGATTCTCTGTGTATAGTATCATGTCATCTGCAAACAGTGACAGCTTTACTTCTTCTTTTCCGATTTGGATCACTTTTATTTCCTTTTCTTCTCTGATTGCTGTGGCTAGAACTTCCAAAACTATGTTGAATAAGAGTGGTGAGAGTGGGCAACCTTGTCTTGTTCCTGATCTTAGTGGAAATGGTTTCAGATTTTCACCATTGAGGACGATGTTGGCTGTGGGTTTGTCATATATGGCCTTTATTATGTTGAGGAAAGTTCCCTCTATGCCTACTTTCTGCAGGGTTTTTATCATAATTGGGTGTTGAATTTTGTCGAAAGCTTTTCCTGCATCTATTGAAATGATCATATGGTTTTTATTCTTCATTTTGTTAATATGGTGTATCACGTTGATTGATTTGCGTATATTGAAGAATCCTTGCTTTCCTGGAATAAACCCCACTTGATCATGGTGTATGATCCTTTTAATGTGCTGTTGGATTCTGTTTGCTAGTATTTTGTTGAGGATTTTTGCATCTATATTCATCAGTGATACTGGCCTGTAGTTTTCTTTCTTTGTCACATCTTTGTCTGGTTTTGGTATCAGGGTGATGATGGTAGCCTCATAGAATGAGTTTGGGAGTGTTCCTCCCTCTGCTATATTTTGGAAGAGTTTGAGAAGGATAGGTGTTAGCTCTTCTCTAAATGTTTGATAGAATTTGCCTATGAAGTCATCTGGTCCTGGGCTTTTGTTTGTTGGAAGATTTTTAATCACAGTTTCAATTTCAGTGCTTGTGATTGGTCTGTTCATATTTTCTATTTCTTTCTGATTCAGTCTTGGCACATTGTGCATTTCTAAGAACTTGTCCATTTCTTCCAGGTTGTCCATTCTATTGGCATAGAATTGCTTGTAGTAATCTCTCATGATTTTTTTTATTTCCGCAGTGTCAGTTGTTACTTATCCTTTTTCATTTCTAATTCTATTGATTTGAGTCTTCTCGCTTTTTTTCTTGATGAGTCTGGCTAATGGTTTATCAATTTTGTTTATCTTCTCAAAGAACCAGCTTTTAGTTTTATTGATCTTTGCTATCATTTCCTTCATTTCTTTTTCATTTATTTCTGATCTGATCTTTATGATTTCTTTCCTTCTGCTAACGTTGGGGTGTTTTTGTTCTTCTTTCTCTAATTGCTTTAGGTGCAAGGTTAGGTTGTTTATTTGACATGTTTCCTGTTTCTTAAAGTGGATTGTATTGCTATAAAGTTCCCTCTTAGAACTGTTCTTCCTGCATCCCATAGGTTTTGGGTTGTCGTGTCTCCATTGTCATTTGTTTCTAAGTATTTTTTGATTTCCTCTTTGATTTCTTCAGTGATCACTTCGTTATTAAGTAGTGTACTGTTTAGCCTCCATGTGTTTGTATTTTTTACAGATCTTTTCCTGTAATTGATACCTAGTCTCATAGCGTTGTGGTCAGAAAAGATACTTGATACAATTTCAGTTTTCTTAAATTCACCAAGGCTTGATTTGTGACCCAAGATATGATCTATCCTGGAGAATGTTCCATGAGCACTTGAGAAAAATGTGTATTCTGTTGTTTTTGGATGGAATGTCCTATAAATATCAATTAAGTCCATCTTGTTTAATGTATCATTTAAAGCTTGTGTTTCCTTATTTATTTTCATTTTGGATGATCTGATTTTGGATGATCTGTCCATTGGTGAAAGTGGGGTGTTAAAGTCCCCTACTATGAATGTGTTACTGTCGATTTCCCCTTTTATGGCTGTTAGTATTTGCCTTATGTATTGAGGTGCTCCTATGTTGGGTGCATAAATATTTACAATTGTTATATCTTTTTTTTGGTTTGATCCCTTGATCATTCTGTAGTTGCCCTTTTTTTTTTTTTTTTTTTTGCGGTACGCGGGACTCTCACCACTGTGGCCTCTCCCGTTGCAGAGCACAGGCTCCGGACGCGCAGGCTCAGCGTCCATGGCTCATGGGCCCAGCTGTTCTGCTGCATGTGGGACCTTCCCAGACCGGGGCACGAACCCGTGTCCCCTGCATCGGCAGGCAGACTCTCAACCACTGCGCCACCAGGGAAGCCCTGTAGTGTCCTTTTTTGTCTCTTGTAATAGTCTTTATTTAAAGTCTGTTTTGTCTGATATGAGAATTGCTACTCCAGCTTTCTTTTGGTTTCCATTTGCATGGAATATCTTTTTCCATCCCCTCACTTTCAGTTTGTATATGTCCCTAGGTCTGAAGTGGGTCTCTTGTAGACAGCATATATATGGGTCTTGTTTTTGTATCCATTCAGCCGGTCTGTGTCTTCTGGTGGGAGCATTTAATCCATTTACATTTAAGGTAGTTATCGATATGTATGTTCCTATTCCCATTTTCTTAATTGTTTTGGGTTTGTTATTGTAGGTCTTTTCCTTCTCTTGTGTTTCTTGCCTAGAGAAGTTCCTTTAGCATTTGTTGTAAAGCTGGTTTGGTGGTGCTGAACTCTCTCGGCTTTTGCTTGTCTGTAAAGGTTTTAATTTATCCATCGAATGTGAATGAGATCCTTGCTGGGTAGAGTAATCTTGGTTGCAGGTTTTTCTCCTTCATTACTTTAAATATGTCCTGC